GGAGAGGATCTGGAAGGACTCGGGGGAGGGGAGGAATACGATCAAAACACACTTATGTTTAAAATTGTTTTAAATGACAGAAACATAATTAAACAATTAAAACATTTTATGTTAAAAAATTATCCAGATTTGTTTTACTCTTCCTCTAACTTTAGGCAGTGCATCACCTTCATTTTCCCCCTTACCATTAAAAAATAGTTTTGTTAAATATCACAGGGTAAATGAAACAGCATGGGTAAACAAGAAATTTTGGATGTGATTTGTGGAAGATGAGATATGCAAGGTTGCTTGGCAATGGCACCACTGAGAAGAGCAGAGCAGGAATGGCGGTGGGGTGATGAGGGATGCCCAGACTGTGGGTGTTCAGTAACGAGCTGTCATGTGTGGTGATGCGTGCTTCTCAGATGATCAAGTATGTAAGAGGAGGTGCATGTCTGGGCAGGTGACAGCTGCCTATTTGGGAGAGGCTGGCTGAAGCACAAAAGAAACAACCTTTCTCATATATATATATATCATCTTATTAGGAAGGTCCTACCAATACCTGAAGGGAAAATCATTTTCTATTCCCATTTTTATGCTCTATAGACACCCGCTGGAAATTTCATGGCATATCATCTTCTAAATGGCATATAGAAATAAATATGAACATAGATTGGCAGATAAGTCTAGTATATTTTTATGTACATATTGTGTATTGTCTTCTAAAAACAAAACTAAATTACGCATGGTACTGGGCTCCTTTTTATTTCTTCTTGTGAGACTTCCTTCCCACAGCAGTGTGCTATAATGTGTCGACATCTGGTCTGTGGACCTGAAACGGTGGCCACACCCCTTTGGGTGTGGCTTCAGGCAGATAGAAGGGGAAAGAGAGGAACTTGAGACGGCTTTCCTTTGCATTCTCTTTCTGTTGGGTCAGCGGATTCAGTAGGAAGAGAAGGGAAACTCCGGTGGTTCTTTGTATTTTTCTGTGTGATTGTTCCCCAATAAACACTCATTTATCATTTGTCTTGGGTCTAGTGATATAATTGCATCCTCGCCTTCAACAATGTAACTTAGGTGTCACTGATGCCTCCTGTTCCCACCCCAGCACCTGTAGCCACCAAGATAATTATAGCTGGGACCTGGCTACAGAAAGGCCACACAGTCAGGGAGAAATCACCCTCATTTTTCTCTTTAAGTTGCCTTCCTATCCCTGTGTCTGTACAATGTACATATCAGCCCCCCGTGAATGTTTTGAATGAAGGATAAATGAAAAACTGTTCAGAAGTCCAGATGCCAGATTTCTTCTTTGAACTCCTGTCAAAAGTCGCTGCATTCTGCTTCATATCATGGTTGTTTGATCTTGTCATTTTAGTAAGTCTGGTGCTCTGAGGGTGGGGTCAAGTGCTGTTTTGTCTGTTCTAGGCCAGTGCCTGTCATGCATTGGGTATTTAGTAGATTTTATTGAATGAGTGACTAAATTAATGAGCAAATAAATGAGTCTACAAGCATGAATGATAAGGCTGAATCACACCAGGAAAGGAAGCACACTGGACTAGAAAGTAAATGGGAGTGCATTCAAGGTAAACATAGTGATTCTTAATACACTACAGCCAACATTTATCATGCAATCATATTTTCTACTAGAAAAATTTAAGGCCATACCTATCCTAAATGAATAATCTATTTGATTTATCTTCAACTTGAAGGAGGTGGAGGATAAAAATTCAACTCTTAGATGGATTTCCTGTGAAGATACACTCTATTACTGTTAAGAACAGCTTTATATACATGAAATATGTTCCTTCCTCCTTCTTAAAACCCCAAAGTTATTCAATCACAGATTTCTTTTTTCTTCTTTGAGACAGGATTTTACTTTATAGCCTGAGCTAGCTATGAACTCTAGAAGTAGTCTTCCTCCTTAGACTCCAGAGGGCTGCCATCACTGGGTGTCATGTGCCATCACATCTGGCTTAAATTCCAGGTGTGTGTGTGTGTGTGTGTGTTGTGTGTTTATGAATATGTGTGTTTGTGTGTATATATGTATGTGTATGTTTATGTGTGTATGTGTGCGTCCCTTGTATATGTGTGTATATGTATGTGTGTGTCCATGTGTGTATTGTGTGTGTGTGTGTGTGTGTGTGTGTCCGTGTGCAATCCACACACAGAGACCAGAGGAGGACATCACTACTTTTCACCTTATTTCCTAAGGCAGGGCTTTTCGATTGATTGATACACCCAGCACTAGACTAGCAGCAGTAAGCTCCAGGGATCCCCCGTCCCACTCCTCAGCACTAGGCTAACAGGAGTACACCACCTGGGCCAGCTTTCTGTTTGTCGGGGCTATGAGCTCAGACTCTCATGATTGCTCAGTTAGGGGTAAGGACTCTCACCTGCTTAGACATCTCTCCAGTACCAACAATTTCTTAAATAACATTTTTATATACTTCTAAAAACACAATATAATGTCTTCTGCTGGGGAGAAGCGAACAGAAAACAACCGTTGTTGTTGTTGTTGCTGCTGCTGCTGCTGCTGCTGCTGCTGCTGCTGGTGACAATGATTGTGAGGATGTGAGACAAGCTGGACTTGAATTCACTAGCAGCCTAAGCTGCCCTCATTTTCCTAGACACCCTCCTGCCTTAGCCTCTGAGTACTGGGGTAACAGGCACTTACCACAGCACCAAACAAAACAACTATTGAAAAGGGAAAAATGTCCTCATTGCAGGACAGATCAACACCAAAGACACCCATTACAGAGAATCCTCACTCCGAGAAAGCCATCTTAAGAATTTATTCCTTTTCCAGTTCTCAGCTAGTATTTGACAAGAACAACCTGTAGAGGGCGTCCTTGCACCAAGAGCCATAGAGGACGGAGCGATAATACCAGGCTAGAAAAACCTCCAACGAAAACCACATGCTCCAAGTCACAGAAAATGTCTATTGTGTTTCAAAATTATGACCTGTGACTGAATGGCACTGACTTTACACTATTAAAGGGTTTTAAAGTTTGCCTAATGGAGTAAAACATTTAAATGAATATTCACTGCAACAGAAAAATGTTGGAGAAAGAACTTTTGATTTTTGAGTTAGAATCTCAGAGAGCTCAGACTGGCTTCAAACTCCATATGTAGATTGTATGAACAACGAGCTTCCGAGGCATTGTGTCTACTTCTGTAGTGTTCATATTATAGCGTGTGCCACCGGAACCAGTTACATGTCTTGTTTCCAAGGAAGAGTGGCTGTGAAACTTTTAGGGCAAACTGCCTTATGATTTGCTCACAACAAAGAGGAATCGTCACGAGAAGCGGCTTTGAAGAGAGAGCGATAGTGATTTGAATCCTGACTCTCTTCGTTCATCGGCTGAATACCTGCGGTCAATTTATCGGATTTTCAAAGCTCTAGTTTCCCCATCAGTAAAATGAGAATAGTAACAGTAGCCACTGCAAAAGGAATCAACACTAAAAAGACTTGAAAAACGAAGCTTCAGTTCACAGTGGGCAGTCGTCTTCTTGTGTATTCTACACACACACACACACACACACACACACACACACACACACCCTCTTTCCATCAGTTGACATCTCATCTATCTATCTATCTATCTATCTATCTATCTATCTATCTATCCGCGACTGTTAGTGACCTAACATTTGTTGAACATGCACACGTGCGACTTCTGTCGTGTAGTTTGTTTGCTTTTCCCTGCGGAAACTTTCTCTACCTTTAAAAAACCTTTTGCTGACGCTTCCTCTGCACATTCAAAGAGTCAGCAAGAGGCAAAAATCTTTGTTGCAGCGAACTGGATGAGGAGGTAATGCTGGAAGTCACTTCCAGCTAGGTGTTCTTCCCTAAGCTCCTAAATCCGGGGACTGGGCACGCGCCTCCTTTTTTTTTTTTTTTTTCCAAAATCCAATTTTTTGGGGGGTTCTCCC